GAAAGAAAGAGGGAAAAAAATAATAACAGCTGAGACAAACAGAACACAAGTTGTAAGATGGTTGACTTAAATTCAATCATATCAGTAGTCACATTAAATATAACATGATCTAAACACTCCAGTTAAACAGCCCGATTGTCAGATCGGCCAAAAATCAAAGAAACAACTAATGTTGACTTCAATAAACCAAACTGAATTATAAAGACACAGAGTGGTTAAAAGAAAAGAATGTAAATTCCAATTCAGTACAGGAAAATACACTCCTACCAGACTGATCCTCTAGCAGATAACAACTAAAATGCTAAAGAACACACACACACAGGGCTCTGAGGCACTGCAGAGTAATCAAAACCAAGCCAACTCTGGCAAAGAGTCTAAACTTAGAACGAATGGCATTGGGTGAGTTTGAGATTTGCTTTGCTTTTTATTTTTTTAAGGATTTTTTAAAAGATTTTATTTATTTATTTGACAGAGAGAGAGATCACAAGTAGGCAGAGAGGCAGACAGAGAGAAAGGGGGAAGCAGGCTTCCTGCTGAGCAGAGAGCCCCATGCAGGGATCAATCCCAGGACCCTGAGACCATGACCTGAACCGAAAGCAGAGGCTTAACCCACTGAGCCACTCAGGCACCCCTTGGTTTTTTTTTCCCTTTAAATAGCATTTAGTTTAAGGCAGGGTACAGACAGTTACCATGCAAAGCAGCTAATATTCTGATAAAAAACTTTAGACTTACTAGCCTAAAGAATAGGAAGACAGAGTTCAGGGCAACCACAACCACTGGCAGATAAAGGGAGAATACCAGACAAAAGAGTCAGGGAAGGGGAACCCCAAATTCTATTTCTAAACTTTGCCTAAAACAATGGCAATCCCAGAACCATACAAATATAGAAAAAACTCCAGCTAAAGGTAAAAGAACTGCACCAAGATTTCAGCTGCCCTCCAGGAAACAGTTTACTGCTTGAGTCAAACCACTGAATTGCCTGCTAAAGCAAAAATATCAACACTCTTTGAATGAATATAACAGATTCCAGTCACCAAGACACAACATTCCCAATTGTCAGGATATAATCAATTCAATGTAGGAAAACACAAGAAATGTGATCCATTAACAACAACAACAATGATATCAAGCTCAAGATGACCAAGATGTTGGAATCAGCAGACAAGGAATTTTTACGCAGTTATTACAGCTATACAGAATGATCTAAAGTAACATATGCCTGCAATGTAAGGATGGGAAATTTCAGTAGAAAGGAAGGACAGATGAATGAACAAACAAATGAAAGAAAGATCTAAAACTGAAAAAATTACTGGATAAAGCTGGATAACAGAATGAATATAACCAAAGGGAAGAGTTTATGAACTTGAAGAACGATCAATATAAATTATCTAATCTAAAACATAGAGAGAAGGGGCACCTACCTGGATGGCTCAGGCAGTTAAGTCCCAGGGTCCTGGGATCAAGCCCCATGTTCAGCAGGGAGACCACTTCTCCCAGCTCCCTGTCTCTCCCAGCTCCACCCTCTGCCCCCGACCCCTGCCCCACTTGTGCTCTTTCTCTCATGCTCTCTGTCTGAAATAAATAAAATCTTTAAAAAAAAAAAAAAAGATAAAATGCAGAGAGAAAAAAGGCTGAAGGAAACATGAGCAGTGCCTTAGAGGAACGCAGGACATCAACAGATGTAACATATGTGTAAATAGTGCCCAAGAAGGAGAAAGGGAATAGTGCATAAAAAATATTCAAAGAAATAATGGTTGAAATGTATCAAATTTGGGAAAAGACATAAATTCACAGATTCAAGAAGCTCAGCAAACTCCAACATAAATAAATACAGAATTACACCGAGGTACATCATAGTTACATTTCTGAAAACCAAAAAAGAAAATCGAAAGTAGCCAGAGAAAAATGATATATTAATACAAGTGAAAAATGACTAAAATCCCACTAACTTATTATATATAATATACATAACACAGAATTATATATTATTTATTCATTTATATTATATAACTTATTTATATTACAAACAGATGTTTATATAGTGTTATTTCTTATGTAATACAATATGTTATACATAATTACATACATATTATATAAAAATATTTCTAAAGGGCTCAAAGAAAAATACTATCAAGTATGAAGGCGACTACCACTGTACACATAACACATTTTGGAGTATTACTTCGCAGTCTTCTACATCTTCATGATTGTTTCACTTTTTTGCCTGAAGGCCTCAAGAATTTTTTTCCTTCAAGTCTAAAAAAGGCTCTGAATAAATTCCACACCCATTACTAATAAAAATTCTTGAGAAAGTAGAAATTAATAGTCTGGTAGGTAGCCTCCAAGACGGTCCCCGTCGATCTCCACTACCTGGCATGTAGGCCCTTGTGTGGTAAGCCTCCCCTTAGTGTGAGCTGGACCTACTGACTTGTTTCTAATGAACAGAATACAGCAAAAGTGATGGGATGTCACTTCCATGATTAGATTAGAAAGAAACTGTGGATCCTGTCTTGCATATACTCTCTTACTCTTTTTTTCCTTGCACTGATGGAAGCCAGCTGCCATGTTGGCAACGACACTACAGAGAGGCCAACTGGCAAGGAACTAAAGGGAATTAGTCCTCTGGCCAACAGCCAGCAAGGAACTGAGTCAACCTTTAGGCCAAAAACCTGTGATTAACTGAATCTTGCCAATAACCACATAAGTAAACATAGAAGAGGATACTTCTTTTAGTTGAGCCTTTAGAGAAAATAGCAGCCCTGGGCAACAACCTTGATTGCAAGCCTTGAAAGAGACATTGAGGCCAAGACACCCAGCTAAGCCAAGCCCAGATTCTAGATGGTCAGAAAATATGAGATAATAAGCGTTCATTCTTTTAAGCACCCCTACCCACAGTTTAAGCCACTACATTCTGGATACTTTGTTAAGCAGCAACAGATTGTTAATACACATGAATATTTATTTAACACAATAGATTACATATACATTCATTGTAAAGCCAGTATCTTTCTTATGGGGTAACCCTGGAGGTATTCCCACTAAGGTCACAAAAAAAACAAGGACGCCTACTGTCTCAAGTACAATTTCACACTGGAAGGACTAGCCAATGCCATTAGACTAGAGAAAATAATTAAAGGCATAAGGTTTAGAAAAAAAGAAACAACATTATATGTATTTTCAGACATGAGAGTATACCTGAAAAACCGTAAGGAATCAACCATAAAACTAACTCAAACAGTAAGATTCCAGCAAGGTAGCACAATAAAGAGTTAACACATGAAAACAAAGTGCTCATGTATTCAAAAAACAACCACTTAAGAGGTACCAGGTAAGAAAATTCATTTACAATAGCAAAAAATATATATTAAATGCTTAGGAATAAACTTCAGAAATGTTCAAAACCTATATGAAAGAAACTGTAAAGAGCTTATAAAAACAAAAAGTAGACTTAAAATAACGTTAAGACATCTTTCTTCTTGAAAATATACACTGAAGTATTTAGAGGTAAAAAAACATGATGCATACAACACTCTTGAAAGCTTCAAAAAATATGTATGTATTTTATATATATACACACATATATTTTATATATATATATATATATATATATATAAGATGAAATTTAAAACTTGATAAAGCAAATAGGGTAGAAAAATCACCAAAGATGTTTAAATCTAATCAAGAAGGAAAAATCAGACAAACCAGACAAACACTAATTTAAAGACACTGGGTATGTTTAATGCAGTGTACATTAAATGATGTTACTGAATTCATATTACCTTTTTTTTTTTGAGAGAGAGAGAAAGAGAAAGCATGAGCAGGGAGAGGGGCAGAGGGAGAGGGAGAATCTTAAGCAGGCTCCATGTCTGGTGTGGTGCCCTACACAGGGCTTGATCTCACAACCTTGAGATCATTACCTGAACCAAACCAAGAATGGGAAGCTTAACTGACTGAGCCACCCAGGTATCCCTAAATTAACATTACTTTTAATGTGTGATAATATTATAATTATGTGCAAGATTGCCCTTATTCTTAGAAGATACATACTATATTTAGGGGTAAAGTATCATAATGTCTGAAATGTGTGTGTGTGTGTGTGTGTGTGTGTGTGTGTATGTGAGGACTGGAAAGGGAAGGAGGAAGGGAGATGATAGGAGACAGAAACAAAAAGCAAATATGGTAAAATGTCAACTGGTTAAATTTAGGAGAAGCATATATGGGTATCGATTGTACTATGTTCTCAACTTTTCTGTTAGTTTGAAACTTTTCAAAATAAAAGGATGGTGGGGGGAAGTGGAAATGACAAACTCCCAGCTTAAAGAGGGAGGTGTAATGTTAGTTTTCCTTCCTCTACCTCTTGAAAATCTGCCAAATAATAAAGAGAACAAGAAATAGCAATGAAAACTCCTCCTTCAACAAAATTAGGAGGGAGCTGGAAGGAAAGGGAAAGATTCTAAAAAATCCTCCTTACAGGTAAATCAATAGATACTTAAAGTTGATGCACCAAAAAACAAAGGTGTAAACATATTATTTAGCATTATGGAGGTAATTGTCAAAAGAACTAAAAAACAAATGAGGTACAGAGAACACAGGGAAGTAGGTTTTCACTCTATATTTTAAACCTTTTACACTGTTGGACTGCTTATATCAAATAACACATATATAGTAGTAGAACAGCAATAAACTTTCCCAATTACACTGACTGTCCACAAGGATTCTGTGACCAAGAGGCTGCACCCAGAAGGAAAAAAAAAAAAAAATCTTTCATAGTTTTAAAAAGTTTATCTTTACTACCTTAAGGTGAGATATTTAAAACACAACTTTAAATGGTAAAATACTTTAAAATATTATTGGGTTTAGCAGAACTACCTACACGAACACTATGACCATGATACCAAAAAAATAATAAATACATTAAAAAGACATATCCTATTATTTCAAATAACTTAAAATTATTTTCATCCTTGTTTTTTTAAAAAAATTTGAATAAACAGACTCACAGTTCCACAAGGTTTGGAAGCTTCTGAGCAAGGTTTTCTGGCTGAAAATTAAAAACTCAGAATTAAATTTTATTTTTGAAAAATGTATAAACATTTCTAATGAGCTTAAACACAAAGTACTATCTTTTGGGGGGGCGTAAATCTAGAGAAAATAATTCAAAAATAAAGCAAGTCTGGGTTTTATGCTCAAATAGGCCATAATACAATTTAAACCTATAAATTTGAACACTTAAAATCAGTGTCTCTCGGAGAAACTAGAAACCTTGTATTCCACCACAGTCACGGAAGAAATTAAACTGTTCATAACAAGACACACACACGGGAAGAATGCCGGATGACAACGGAGCCAGATACTGGGGTGACACAGCCATGGCACATCAAGGATCATTGGCAACTATCAGAATCTAGGAGAAAGGAAGGAACAGATTCTCTCCCTCAGATCTGAGAGGGAACCGACCCTGCCCACACCTTGACTTCAGAATTCCAGCTCCCAGAATTGTGAGAGAATAAATTTCTGTCGTTTTAAGCCACCTAGTCTATGTAGTTTGGTACAGCAGCCCTAGGAAACTAACATTCGCCCCCCTAAACTCCCAAATCATGTGCCTTGGAAAAAATCAGGGAAATCCCCAGGTGCCAGGAATCAAGACCTAGCTAAGCTCAGGGTGAACAGAGGAAGCTGGAGTCCAGGATCCGGGAAGAGGCGGACCCTGCCACAGGTCCTAAGGGGTGTGGTGCGACAAGAACAGCAAGCGGGTAATGGGGAAGACAGATTGGGATGAACCTAGGTGCCTTACACAGAGTCAAAGTGTTGGAAGGACTGGCCCTTGTAAAGATCAGAAACTCCCAACTCACAGAAGTCTAGGAAGGCTTCTCTTGGCTGGAGGCACCGAGTAAAAGGAAAAGCTTCCCTGCTATTAACTGAAAGCCAGCCTGTCTGTCGTTTCTCTCTTTCTTTCTCTCTCTCTCTCTCTCTCTCTCTCTCTCTCTCTCACACACACACACACACACACACACAGTTCAAATTTACACAAAGACAGGAGTTGTTGAGACTAAAGGAGCACTCTGAGTCAGAAGTAATATGTATCTCTATCTATATTTTATTCTACGCCCAAACATACTGTAGGGTAGGCTAGATTTCAACAACAAAGAATCAGGAATACTTTTTTAGAAGTAATTAGGTATAGCTTGAGTCCTGAAAGACAAACATACATTTTCAGAAGTTGCTGTGGGGCAGGGAGGAAGTTCTGGTTAGCTTCCAGGCATAAGAAGCAACATAGGAAAAGGAGGGAGAAGGAGGCATGTCTGGGAAACTACAAATACAATCTCTTCTGCTTTCACTCCCTAACAGTACTCCTGAACAGATCTGATGTTTTCAAAAATCCTGTTATAAAAACAACTGTGTTGGGGCACCTGGGTGATTCAGTCGGTTAAGCCTCCAACTCTTGATTTTCACTCAGGTAATGATCTCAGGGTTGTAAGATCGAGCCCCATGTAGGGTTCTGTGGGCATGAGCCTGCTAGGTTCTCTCTCCCCCTCTGCCCCTTCCCCCTCTTAAAAAAATCATGTTAATTGAAAAACAAAAGTGAAAACTAGACAGATTTATATTTGTAACAAAGTAATTTTTCATATAGGAACTTAGTAACAATGATTATCACCAGGGAAAGGACTAGGGTTGCTATTCTCCATCTGGTTAGTATTACTTGAATTTTTAACAGTGAGCATTTTATGCCTCATATAATCGAAACAGATTACATTAAGATATGTGGTACCCACAGCATAAACCGCTACATAATTGAGTAATCAATCATAATCGTCCAATTTGGGTTCTATAGAGAAAAATACCATTAGTTAGGTATGTCTGGGCCATAGGGTACACAGGTCTATAATGATTTTGCAGAGAGTGGCATGAAAACAGATCATTAGAGCTTATATCTTATACTACGCGAAAACTTCTTTAAAAAATTCTGAATAAAAATCCGCTGGTTTATTTTCAACAAGGAAATGACATTACTAATTTCAGTTAGCATACTGATATATTTAAATTGCAATGGCATCCAAAGCATCCAAAGGATGTATGCCTATATACACATACATCCTTGTCCTTCTAGGATAGCCGAATATTGAATACGAATACTGTTACGAACACAAACGAATCATTTATTGAGTACTCATTTTTTATAAAATCCCTTGTATTTAGTTTACAAGCGCTGATCATCTTCTTCTTCTTCTTCTTCTTCTTCTTCTTCTTCTTCTTCTTCTTTTTAACATGTTTTAATAGTAATATATGCAATGAGATCCTTCAGGAAATATCTTTCCTCAGATGTTACTCTTGGATCTATCCAAATCCTCAAAATGTTTCTTTTAGTATCGGTATCTCTTCTATTAAGGAGAATACACACTTCCATTTATGGGCATACATACAAGGCTTCCTAAGCAAACTAGGCAGCTAGGGATGGGGGGATGTTGCGGGGGGGGGGGGGGGATTACAAAGGGGGGAATTAATAAGAGGCTTAATAACAGCTGTTTCTCTGAAAAGGAAAGACTTATTCAGAAAAAAAGCTTCATCTGTTTTATCTGCAACAATCAGTATCACATATCTGGCTGACTCAGGATCTGTGGTCATTCTTTCCAGATGCCTATTTGGTCCCATTAAACATTATTCTAATCTTCCCATGAGAACTTAGCTCTTTTGAGCTACACAGCTTCACACACAATTAAGCACTGAATAATGTTTCCCCTGCTAATGGTGCATTACCCTATCTTTATTAACGAGTAGATACACTGTGTTTTTAATTTAAAAATAAGCAAGCTGACCTTAAGAAAACTGCAGTTCATTAGAATACTGGGTGGAAAAACAAAACAAAACAAAACAAAAAAAACCCTTATTAGTACCTGCCCAAAAAGCCTTGACAAATAAGCAGCCAATTGCATGGGCTGTGGCTGACACCTACTGGTAAGGATCCCTGAATTACTTCCTACTAGTTAAAAATTGTTTTCTAAATTAAGCCAAAATTCTCTTCACTAAAACCCACATTACACTTCACTAAATAATTTTTCTTTACAAATAATGTAAAAGCAAACTTCAGCAAGCACAGTTAAACATAAAATCTACCTCTAATTTTGAATCAATGATGTTTTACTACAACCTTTTAAGGAAAACTGCCAACCCCTTTAAATGGAAACGTTTTTCAATTATGTATCTTGGAACCAGTACTTCACATATGTTGCAAACACTATGTTCAGTGATGTTCTTTGGTGGGCATCGTGTACCAGTTACTTCTTTTTTCTTCTCTTTCTGGGCACCTGGTAGGACTGCATTTTTCTCTCCAAGCTGGGTAGAGCTAAATGACTTACTTTGGTCAGTGAAATTATGTTGACGTGGTAGTCTTAAAGAGCCTGAACTGTAAGAACTAAAATGAACTTAATTCATGACTTTGAAAGGTGTCGTGACAAAAACTGGAAAGCGCAGTGAGTGTATTGTGCTGGTCTGTCAAAGAAATTTTTTTTTCCTTCAGTACCAAAACTTAATTAACTTTTTTTAGTTAAAAAAAATAAAATTTTGAGGTGAAATACAAAAAATTACATAAAAGTTCATAAGTTCATGGTGGCCACATGACGGAAGCTTTGTCAGCCTTCCTCCCTGGCTGTGGACACCATAAACCAGAGTCTCCAAGCAATATGAGAGTCATGCAGTGTGAGTAAAAGAAATAATTGTGCTGTTAAAAACCATTAGGATTCAGGGTTCAGCAAAACCTGCTCCATCCTCACCTCCAAAAACATTTCAAAAAAGTCATGAATTAAATGAATTTTAGCCCTTACAGCACTTATAAAAAGTCAAATGAAGCTGGACCTTTACCTCACACTACATTAAAAAATTAATTAAAAATGGATCAGCGACTTAAATATAACCCCCCAAATCATAAAACTCATAGAAAAAAATATAAGGGTAAATCTTCGTCATTGTGGAGTTGGCAATAGATTCACAGATAGGACACCAAAGCATGAAGAACAGGAAAAAAACAGATACAATGGGCTTCACCAAAGTTAAAAACACTTTTGTGCACTAAAGGATATTGTAAGAAAGTGAATTACAAGAAAGTGAAGACAACATTTAAAATGAGAGAAAAGAGTTATGAATCATGCATCTGTTCAAGGTCTAGCATCCAAATATATAAAGAATCCTTACCAAAAAACCACCAAACCACCCAATTTGAAAATGGGGCAAAGGATTTGAATATTCTTTAAATATATACAAATGGTCAACAAGCACAGAAAGAGATGCCCGACATCATTAGTGTTAGGGAAATGCAAATCCAAACCGCATGCAGTATCATCTCACACCTACCCACTTCAACCCACTGTAATAATAGTATTCTAAAAACTGTAAAAGAAAAGTGTTGGTGAAGCTATAGAGAACTTTGGAAGTCTTGTACCTTCCCACAATTCCACACCTAGGTAATATGACCCACAGTATGATCCCACAACTCCACACCTAGGTAATATGACCCACAGAATTAAAAACTGGTACTCAAACATGTAATTGTAATCCATACTCACAGCTGCATTGTTCACAGTAGAAAAACAGATGGAAAGAGCCCAAATACCCATCAATGGATGAATGGGTAAATAAATTGCGGTGTGCACATGAAACGGGTACTTACTGAGTCATAAAAAATAATGAAGGACTGATATATACTACAATCTGGATTGACGCTGAGAACACTTTGCTAAGTGAAAAGAAGCTGAAGGTCACATATTGAATGGTCCCATTTATATGAACTATCCAGAATAGATAAATCCATAACAACAGAACACGGACCGGTGGTTAGCAGGGCTGGGGTGCGGAAGGGAACAGGGAGAAATTGCTTAATGAGTAAGAGGTTTAGTTTGAAACTAGACAGAGGCAGTAGTTGTTCAACACTGAATGTACCACTGAATTGTGCACTCTAAAATGGTTAATTTTACATTAAGTTCATTTCACGTCAAAAATTATTATTATTTTTAAAGACTGTATTTATTTGAGAGAGAGCACAATCAGTGG